GGAGGGTGGAGGGAAGGTGAGGGAGAAAGGGGGAACAGATGAAAAGGATCTACACATAACCTGCTCCAGGGGGGACGGACAGTGGAGAAGTGGGTGAAGGGAGACGTCGGACGGTGTAAGATATGACAAAATAATTTATAAATTATCAAGGGTTCATGGTGGGGGATGAGATGGGAGAGGAAAGAATGAGGAGCTGATACCAAGGGCTCAAGTAGAAAGCAAATGTTTTGAGAATGATAAGGGAAACAAATATACAAAAGAGCTTGACACAATGGATGGATTGTGATAAGAGTTGTACAAACCCCCAATAAAATTATTTCTTTGAAAAAAAAAACCCCCAAAAAACAATTCTTTAAAAACAAGAGAGACCCTTGCTGGGTATGGAGCTGTTCCTGAGGAGTGAACGACGTCCCCTAGACTCACCAGGGCTTGCAGTTTCGGACAGTGAATGGCGAGCTGGACCAGCGTGCTGTCTGTGATCTGGAGAGAAACGTGCCGGGCTCAGTGTGACGTCCACCCGGGAATTCAATGCCTAGTCCTGCCTCAGGGGTACACGCCCAGCTGAGACAGACTCCAAAGGTAACTAACCCGCCTTGAGCACACAGGAGCGGGAGCACCTCTCTTTACCAGCAGCCTCAAACCTGTCTACTCCAGGGTCACCCAGCTGGTCTTTGGCCTCCCCTCTGGAGTCCCAGGGCTGAGAACCGAGGACAAAAGGAGTGGACAGGAGGGGAACTTAGGCTCTCCTCCCTGGAGGCCATCCATCACCAGACAGACAAGCTTTCATGCAGAATAAAAGCCCCCGCCCCTTTGTTTTAAATCGACAAAACATGTTATCCTGAACTTCTCTGCTCTCGTTCTGCTGACTGAGCCCCCTCTGCTGTGCCCCCAGTCTCCGCCCTCACTGCCCCTCCACACAGGCCGCCAAACAGAGGGGCTGCAGTGTGGTTGTGCTTGGCTACCAAGGCAGAGCTGTTGGGGCCACTCACCAGGACGCATTCTTCCAGGTCCATCTTCTCTAGGTCATGACAATTCTGAAAGAGTCCACAAGACGGCCGCCCCCACCCCACACCCCCAGGGTGCAGGTCAGTGGTTGGGGTCACACTCGTGCCTCGCCCTGGCCTTCAGAGGACTGGCCCAGTGTCCCTGTCCTCGTCCATCCCGGGGTGTCCTGTGCTGTGCCGGCCCAGGCAGCAGTACTTCTGAGCAGAGGGGTTGGGGAGTCACACTGTGTCTGGAAACAAGGGCAGGACTGCCCCGGCTGCATCGCCTTCTCTCGACCCAGAAAGGCAGGTGCCTACCCCTCCTGGTGGTTCCCACATCGGCATGGGGCTTGACTTTAGCCGCCACCGAGCAGGGGAGGAGACCAAGCCCAAGCTATCAGAGCACTGC